AATTATAATTCCCCCACCCCCGCCCCCTTAAACCTAAAGTAGGGCCCCTCAATACAAGCACAGAGAATTATAATTTACCCCCCCCCCCCCTTTTTTTTTTGACAATAAAAAAAAGTTAAGGAAAAAACACGTCAGAATTGGCAACAAAATAATAATTTGTCACCACAAAGTATTTCTTTTTCTTCTTCTTCTTCTTCTTCTTCTTCTTCTTCTTCTTCTTCTTCTTCTTCTTCTTCTTCTTCTTCTTCTTCTTCTTCTTCTTCTTCGCTTTTACCGAGTGTAAACTCCGGCGAAAATTCTGGTTGTTAATCCACCTCTGGACTTTAGAAGACTTCTTCTAGAACCTGAGTATTGCGTATCCGTTTTACAGGTCTGACTTATTTGTATGCAGGCTGTTAGTTCCTTGTCTCTCAGGCAGATCCACTCCGACTTCAAAGAAATAACTCAATTAGTCGCCTCTTACGACATGCTTATTGGGGAGGCAGTGGGTCTGATATGACTGTGTACTATCCTAAAATCTATTCTATTTATAGAATGCAATAATAATGAGGTTCATACAATATATAATAAGAATATCGTCTTCTTCTTCGCGTTCACCAGCTGTAAACTCCGGCGGAAAGTTCTGGTTGCTCGTTCACTTTTGGACTGCAGTCCTGTTCCAGAACCTGAGTGTTGTGTGTGCATCCGTTTTACATATCTGACTCATTTGTATATTGGAATATCAATCGGTGGACATAAGCCTAATATAAACAGCTGCAATATGCTGGTGAGGGAGCCGCCGTATTGTAACGGCTAGACGCTCGCCTGCGGATCGGAAGCTCGTGCACCGACAGTGAGCTGCATTTCTGATATGGGACCATTAGTGTTGGCAATATGATAGCTGCCTAGTGCATTTTTTGCTTTGTGTTTGCAAGCTTCACGAATGTGTTAAGACGGGCAAGTTTTTTCATTAGATTTCGAATAGGACAATAAAAGACATTTTTAGTGATTTCCACCGACTCAGCAACTGAGCAGTTAGGAGGCGACTCTCTATGGTGATATTGGAACTTCGACTAATTAACTAATTAACTAACTAACTAAACAACTATCTAATTAACTAATTAACCAACTGGAACCTCGGCTAACTTAACTAACTAAATAAATGAAAACCTTAAGCGAACCGACATATTTGTGATCCATACTGGAATCGATCCATACTGGAATCGATCCATAGGAAACTTTGGCAAACGTATCTGTCATCGCCCACCAAATCAGTGCTCGGATAATCTTCTGTTACCCTTTGAATCACATTTCTAGTTTGTTCATGTAATTCAACTCTTTGTCTCTCTCCGTCTTATAAAGTAATGTTTTTTAAATTGTATTCCAGAGCATTAGATAGTGTGGCTACCGGATTAGCATTCTGGGACTTGTCTCTTTTTAACCCAAATCTAAAGTGACGCCTCTGAAACTGCAACCACTTGTTCTGAATCACGGGAACAGTGTAAAGCACAGGGTTAATGGCTGAATTTATCGGAAGAACCAGCACGGCTGACCAAGCATAGACCTTATTGCCAATCTGGTGTCCGGTCATGGCTAAAAGACCCATGAGACCGACAGGGAAGTAGCAAAGAAAATCCGTCAGGACCACGAGAAACAACTGTTTTGCCACCGCAACGTCTTGAGATCGTCTGTTGCTGTTGTGCACTGCAGTTTTGGCAGCGCGGTTCCCAGACATGGCTTGGTAGATTGAATACTGGCCAGCTGCGATAACTACGAACATGACTGTGTTCAAGCCCACGAAGATAGCCACGGAATACTCCCATCCGCCTAGCCTCTCGACTGTTAGAGGCAAGCCGAGACACATGCCGTTGACGTAGAAGATTGTCCAGTCATTGAAGTTGGGCAGTGATGGAGTTAGTGCCAAAGCAAATCCGCATGACCAGGCAGCCACGCTGGCAATTAGCGTGCTTCTTTTGGTGAAACCGTACTGGCCAAATGGAAATTTGAGGACAAAGTACCTGTCTATGGTAACCAGCAAAACAAAAAATGCCGACGTCTCGCTGGAGAGAGTTGAAAGGAATCCCGCAATGTGACAAACAAGACTCTGCTTCCAGTAAATGTTTTTGGTGATATAGATACCATTGTAGTACAAGTCAGCGCTAGCGATTACCAGTAAGTACACTCCCATTATGAAATCTGACACTCCCAGATTTGTTACAAATATACCATACGCCTTATTTAAGACACTTTTGTTCCACACAAACCTACATACAATCACAGTAAAGTTGCCCAGTACTGCGATGATGCCGACTATCCATAGAAGCACACGCTGAACTGTGTCCCCGATCAAGGCATAACACGTGGAGATAGCATCTTCTGGAGCAAAGCACACCTGGTCTGTGATACCTGGGCCTCGGATCTGTGGACAACACAGTCCGTACATATCTGTGTGGAAACCTCCTTCAATGGTCAGTCCGTTGAAGAAGCTTGAGTTGTAGCCCTTTACTGACGTGCCGCTCATGTAGAGAAACTGGAGTTTGTAGTTCACTGGGAAAGGGGAGGTATACAGGTGCGACATTCTTGTGTGACTCAGGTCGAGAACCTTCAAACTCAACAAACCCTCGAGAACCGACTTATGCAAATTTGAAATACTTGTGTAAGAAAGATCTAGGTATTCTAATGTTGACCTTCTACTGTAAGCTAGAAATGCATTCTCCTCTATCTTGACAAGTTCACTATTATGCGATAGTTTAAGGACGCGTAAATTTGTCATGAATCTAAATATACTGTTTTTGTGCACTGTACTGATCCGGTTGTGTCTGATGTCCACAGAGTAAACGGATTGCAGATCTGAGGCATCGCTGGCAAATGTGTCTTTCACAGTTGTCAATTTACACTTGGACAAGATAATGGTGTTGATGTTACGCAAGTGTCTATTTTCTACTTTAGCAAAAGCAGGAGCAACGCCAATACCTGACAAATCAAGATACCTCGTTCTGGGGTCAATAAAAGCCAAGCTTTGCAGCGGGACATTCAAGCTGTAGTTTCCAACAGTCACAGCTCCCCCAAGACATCGAAAGCCTTCTCTACAGCTGACGTTACAGTTGAGTTCATCGTCCCGCGAAGGACAGTGGGAGTTTCCATCACAAACTAGGTCGGGATGAAGACACATGTTGCTGTTCCAGCAAGCAAAGTTCCCAGAACAGCTATGATTCTTCGAATAGTGTTCGTCTTCTCCCTACTGGACAGTCCATAGTTCCATCTCGAATGAGATGCAGCGGTATGCAGTAAGATTCTGTGCATTTAGCATAACCTTCAGGGCACTGGAACGAATCACAGTTCCATAAATGTGACAGATCTCTACAGCCAAGGATTTCTTTATAACGATCCTTGTAATAAATGCAGCGTGGGGCCCAAGAATTCATCTCGTCCTCATTGGCACAAGAAGAAACTCGAGGCAGCTTTCCTAATGTCTCATCAATTGGTCCTTCGGGACCTCTACAGTCAACTACGCCATCTCCCAGCTGTGATGGATTCACGCAAAAGGTTCGATTACAAATAAAAGAACAACTTTCTCGATCACTTGAGTTTATAGTTCTGCTGACGTTATCCACCTTGCCGAGGTAACTAGCACAATCAAGTTGGTCGTTACATCGATGTTTCGGCACGCAGGCTGCTCCACAGCATCGTTTCTGTTTGCATTCGATGCAGCCCTCCTCATCACTCCCATCAAAACAGTCAGGGTAAAGATCACATCGAGACTCCACGGGCACGCATTGGTGTGACCTACATTCAAACTCGGAGCGGCTGTCACATTTCCGGTACAAGCATACCTTTTCATCTCGTTTGTTTGGACAATGATAAATATAATCACAGACATAAGCATAAGCTACTTTCCCACCATTAACATCATTTTCATCACACTGAAACAACTTTAATCCTATCTTTTCCAAATGAGATCTTGTATAGAAGTCGTAATGCCCAGAATAAGCAGAAATTGATACAATCTTCTCTTCGAATTCCATAAATTCTCCTCGGAGTAATGCTTTGCTGAAGTTCTCGTAGCTGGCAGGAGGAATATCCAGCGATTGGTCAGTCTCGCTATAGAATCGCTCAAGCGAGATCTCACAAATTCCCATGTGGTTTTCTGCCTTGCTACATGAGATTTCATCCCACCCTTCCTTGTAATTTTTCGCATATTCCGAAAAGTTCATGGCTGTTTCTGAGAGAACATCTGGTCGTTGGTATTTCCAGATACCGCATTCTTGATGGAATCCATCATGCAATCGCTTGTCTTCCCAAAGGGACATTACCAAAGGATGTCCACTTATCCACTTAAAATGCCTTACCAACGATGCTGAATCTCTTATTAGACCAATAAAGATCTCCCATTTTAGGTCTCTGTCTCCATGTTTCACTAACGCTTCATATAATCCCTTCTCTAAAAACCCAATCTCGTCATAAGTCTCTATGGACGCTAAACTGGAATCCATCTTACTGCACCTTTCCAACGCCTGATACCAGTCATTTGGCGCGGACTTATCAATGTCTAGATAATAGCAGGACATTGAATAAAATGGATTCCTGTGTTCAAACAAAAACCAATCTTTTCGACATTTTCGACAGAGTGCCATGGAGATTAGTTGGTTGTCGACTAACTGCGAGAAGCTTGTCACAGAAATTGTGTTAGGTAAACTCTCGGTTTTATACGTATCATCAGGTCCGACAAGCACGGTGAACGTTTCAACATTGTTTTGACGATTCCCAGCCTTGATTCTCTCAACCTCTTCAGACGCTCCAAGTTGAAGGCCATCAATCACCACGAAAGACAGACGGGTAGCGTTAGCTCTACCCCCTTGTTCTTCTGAAAAAGCGCGGGAAATGAAATCACCCAAACTTTCAGCGCTAGACTCTCTGACACCTGGCATAAGGGCAGACTTGTTGCAGGTTGATAGATTAGCAAAATAACTCCTCATCTGGTCCAAATCAGAGTAAGAGTGAAAGTTCAGGACTGAAATAACACCAGATGCTGTATCCAAAGCTAGACTTACACGAAGTCTGAAGGTTACTGTCTCGTTGGTCGGAACAAACAGATCAATTATTTCCAGAAACAACGTGACCAGCTCTTGTGGGCCAACACATTCAGCAGAAGTAGCAGTGTTTGTAATAAACAGAAGATCTGTGTCATCCCGTGTGCAGTCTTCCAATGGAAACTTGGCTGATACCAAAGTAACGGCCCCTGAAAATGAATAATCGAAATGTGATTAAAATCGAAAAGTACCAGCAACGTAATATAAACATACTGTATATGAAGTTCGCCTGCGTGCTAGAGGGGCCCTCACTGGAAGCAAAGAATAGTATCTCTGCACCCTACCACGTATGCCGTAAGAGGCAACTAAGGCTAGGGTTGGGACGGATTGGTTACCTCGTTCATTAAAACAAAAAGCCATACAAAAAACAACCGGGGAAAAGTCAAAAAGACAAACATGAAAAACCCAGCCCATGATGAGGGGAGGCTCTTCTAACACAAGAATGAGGACAAAGTGCGACGAAAGCCGAAAGAAGTCCGAATCATTGAGTACGTCCTTTCACATAAAAAAAAGAGGAACTAGAGGGGGAAATTAAAAAGGTATAGAGGACATGGAATGAGCTACATGCAATAGCAAAAGATAGAGCGACTTGGCGTGAACTGGTTGTGAGACTATGTTCTTGCTTCCTTTGGGGTGGAAGGCAAAAGAAAGTATATAAACTACACTCATTTGGAACCAAACAACTCGCCATGAGTTTGTTTAACTCACGTACATAGAATACTATTCTCAACCTCCTGTCCCCCCCCCCTCCCTCAATTCAGTAATTAGGCCAACTTCTTCGAGTCCATGACGTGTGGCGTTGGTAGTCATGTCTATCCACAACCTTCTGTCCCGTGTACTTTCAATCAACTCTGACACAGATGATCTTCCATAGTCCATGCCGTGTGGCGTTGGTAGTCATGTCTATCCACGAGCTTCTGTCTCGTGTACTTTCAACAACTCTGACACAGATGATCTTCCATAGTCAATGCCGAGTGGCGTTGGTAGTCATGTCTATCCACAAGCTTCTGTCTCGTGTACTTTCAGTCAACTCTGACACAGATGATCTTCCATAGTCATGCCGTGTGGCGTTGGAAGTCATGTCAATCTACAAGCTTCTGTCTTGTGTACTTTAAGTTAGCTCTGACACAGATGATCCTCCGTGCCATGATGTCAAACTGTCCTGCATCTTTTCTCTGGGTCTCTTTCTGCCTCTCCTCCCCTCCAACTTTCCTACCGTCGCGATGCACTTTAGTTTTCTCATATTTATGACCAAAGAATGTAGATTATCTTTTTCTGATGTGGGCAATCAGTTGTTTTTGTTTTGTTTCGTTAGTCAGTTTCTGTCGAAATCCTCATTTTTTTTTCATTTTATCTGTCCAGGGTATTCTCATCATTCGTCGATAAAACCACATCTTCGCAGCTTCCATCTATAACTATACGCTAGCTTACTCTGCCTCAGTGGTTGCTCTTTATCCTTCTTTCTCAGTGTGTTGTTATTTGGTCTGCTTCAAGTTCGGACATGTATTAGTTAAAATAATCATTTCTCTGAATATAATGTCATTGAGTAGACTCAGTTAGATGTCTAATAGCGGCTGGAGCATATGGTATTAACCGCATTTTCTATTCAGAAAGCATGCTGAGGAAGATCAGAACAGGTATGCTTCGTGCAGAGTGGCATGCTTCGCTGCGGAGGACACGGTTGAGGAGTATTGTCTGGATTTTTTTTTCACCGGGTCACGCCGGTGTGTTGGGAAATGAACAGGCGGACAGACTGGCTGGCTCTGCACAACTTGGTGGAATACTGCTACATGATAGGGCAGACGTGGTTAGTGCCTTGTGGGAGAGCGTGTACAATGCGGAGGAGCAGATGGATCACCACAGTCTGGTGAGATTGATGCAGTTGGGGGTGACGAGAGGTTCTGGCAGAAGCTCAAGGCTCAGAGGAAAGGCAAGACGGACGTTTAATCAGAAAGCTACTGGCACCATTAGTATCGGAACTCTTCGCTGGCTGCTGAAGATGGGGACGGAGCGCTTATGGAAATGCCCCGAGTGCTCTGATGTCGGTTATTGAATCAAATCAAATCAAATCGCATTTTCTTATATACCAATCGGGGCTTGATGGCTGGTGTGGTGGACATCATACGCTGTCCTTTTACATCTCAAGATAATTCCTACCTGTTGTATACCGCTTTTGCCTCCTATGACATTTCCTGGGGGTAGGGGCGTTTAGCCAGTTGTAATTAAAAAAAAAATGTAGGACTAACAGGTGTTATATTTCAAAACCGGAAACTTCGTCCATCAAACAGAAATATTTGTAGTACATGTTATTCTGGTGTTATAGGTGGTTTGGTCATCGAACACAAAGGTCATGGTATCAACTGCCACAGAACCAAGCTGAAGAAATATAATGAGCAAAGCTCGAGCGGAAGACCATGCTCGAACGTGGAAC